CAACGATTCGGACTTATGATAGATTATTTACCTACATGGGACCAGTACTGTGTGAATCGGACTAGATTCAAAAAATTAGACAGATGGCTGGAGGGTTACGTAGGAATTTGATTAGACGGTGCAGATTAAGTATTATGGTCAGAGTCAGGAATTTTGAGCATATTTTATTGTAAAATATTTTGTTTCATACAAACAACCATTGAGAAATAATTGTTTTAATACAATTATTATTTCACAATCTTTGTTTGTAATTCTTCCTAGAAAGATATTAGAGCGACTCATGGCCACGTGTAATACCTTTTCAGAATTCCTATTAAATGCGCCAAAACTTGTAGTACAGGGACACTTTTCGGTGGAGTAATTTTTTTTCACAGTGGGGTCCAAAGTAAAGAAAAAATTATGATTTGAAAAAATGTTATATCGTATCACTTAATATTATCTTGAATACACTCAATAAACAACTATAAATAGTATGTCGAACGCAAGAACTCATCAGTACCAATCTAGTGGATATTATGAGAAAGATACAGGATGTAGATATTTTCGAATTTTAAGAAGAATTAGTAAAAAAAAGTCAATTTTCATATAAAACCAAAATAAATCATAATTCTGCAGGGGTTGACCTTAGAGACCTCCCGTAGAACAATTTTTTGCCGCTGATGACCTCATCTATCCCCTATTTGCGTTTGATCCACGACTTTTTGGCCACCCTGTATATACATTGATTTTTTATGCTCACAAGAAGTTTTATGCATACATGTCACTTACATGAGAAAAAAAAATACATAAAATAATTTTGATATTAAAAACATAAAAAGTAAAAAATGCCACCGTCGTACGCTGTTATTGCATTTGGTGTGTAGTTGGTAATTTTTTTTAAAACTATAATGTACGTTGTGTATTTATACAGTTACTTAATGTTCATTAATTTTGTGTCAAAGTATAGATTGTTAGTGGAAGTAAGAGTAGTATTAAAGAGAGGATTTTAATTAATTTATTTTTAAGAACCTGAAGTTGTTAAAGTTTACTAGTGAGGGCTATCAAATGTAAGGAATTCGAACTGTTTATAATATAAAAATATATCGTAATGATCTTCCTATTTTTTTCAGGAATCAGTGAAAACATTTCACCTGCTTTTAAATGAGACATCGCGCCGTCTACAAGCGTTGACAAAACGTCTAGGAACCTGTGTGGACAAATCTCGGCCCTACTACGACGCTGTTGCAGCCGCTGCTAACGCTCGCGCTGAATGTCAACGGGGTGCTGTGCAGTTTCAGCGAGCAAGTGGTAAGAAGCGTAATTGACGTATTAATGAGATAGAAAGATTTATATGTGGTGAAAATCAAAAGTCAGAAACGATGGCGCGATTCGTTTGTTTGTGATTGGTCTAACGGATGGACGAATCACGTCGCTTGATTGGAGAGATGTTGTTAAACAATCAAACGAAACGCTTCGTTTCATTTTTGAAGTGAACCTTCTTTAGGCGCATGTGGGTGAAATGTTTACAGATGAAACGCATTAATAATATAAGCGTCACGAAGATGTGCAGCGTTTTTGTCGAAGAAAAGTGAGAGAGCTATGTAGGCCGATTGAGAGAGAGTGAGAAAGGGAGAACGTAGCAATATACGAAAATACATATTTCATAAATTCTCTTTACGAAATTTTAATTTTAAAAATAGAATTGGTATTTTCAATTTGTGTATATATATATATATATTCACAAGTATAGGTAATCAAATACATGGAGTGATCATATACTGGTACATGATCATCTATTGGGGCTTTTAGCTTAGTAATAATTAATTTACAAAGAAGTTTCACTTCTGACATGTGTACTTTGTACGCACGCACTTTTTTATTTTAAAGGGTGTTCAGGATAGAAGACGAAATGTTTGACTATAGATACAAATTTGAATTTGGTTAACAAAGATAAGCCTTTGCAACCTGAATGTAACCTTGACCAGCTGTCCTTCATCAGTCAAGTGCGCGGCCCCACAGGAAACAAACAATTTGCACTTAGATTAGATAGTGCTATTTACACTTTTTCATAATTCATTCGTGTGTAGCATTCTGCTACGCGCTCTACCGTTACAATAAGATATGTACTGTGTTTATTTCTATGATAACAAAATTAATCTAACCTAAATTAAAGTCTTGCAGCACCCAGATAAGATACATTAATGCGTTGCTTTTCTTTGTAGGAAGTAGGTAGCCAGCCTACTGGACCTATGTGATTTTTAGAACTAAGACATGCCACTTCTAATGCATTTCAAGTTTTTCCGTACAAGCAAATGTTTACTTCATATATAGTTTAAAGTAATTTGGTTCAAACGCTCGACGCCTGACTTTTCGACCGTTTTACTAAATAATAACTCTATAATTCATGACTACATGTAATTAAATCTTACATATTTTAAACCAACTTATAAACAAAGTCACAAAATATCACAAAATCTTCAAATATTTGTTATAATTGTTGCGTGTAATTTTTCACACCGTTTCACGTAAGTAAGCGTTTAATACTTTGATCTGTACAGTGTACACGTCTTCTTATACGATCAGGAATAATATTCATAAATTGAAATAAACAATATACAGTGTATGTAGCGTTTTAACGGATATAATTGACATAAGGACAGGCGTTAGTCCACAGCTGTTACGCTCTCATGCATGTCACAAAGGTATGGTCGAGTACTTTAGAATAATATATTATCAAGCGTTTCAATCTATATATGCTTTGTACTTACACGCTGCTTCGTATAGGTAGGTTTTCGTTATATAAGTTAAAATACACAACAAAATCCGTAATTAATTATCTCGCATAAAATTTTTGTTATCATTTTACTTAAATATAATTAGTACATAGAGATACTTAACAATGTTACAAGGACAGAACTAAGGTATATCTACGAGTATATTGTGAGACGTAGGTCATTTAGATAATATATAGTTATGTTGTCAGTTGAACAATATGATGCACTCAAATAAGTCAAAATACGTGAAATATTTCTTGCACAGTTGTAATATAAAAATAACATATGTAAAGAATTTTTCTATATCTTCCTATATGAAGACTGATCTATCTATTTGAACACAGTTACAGTTTTAACATAAAACAGTTCTGAAGCTTTGTCGAGCTATTTTCTTTAAAAATTTGATGCTTGCAAAATAATAACGAAATTTTCTGGTTACATAGTATAATAGATACGGAAATCTACTTGTTAGAGATTGATAAATACTGTACGTGAGAGCAGTATTGTATACTACAATGATAACATCACTGATACATGATCTATATGAGCGTCTGCGTTATAAATTAACATCAATTTACACGGTACTTCTCACCGTGGTTACGTAATCAGTATATTATTAAAATGGATATAGAGATAGTAGAAACTATATAGAATTGCGTGTTTATGTTGCATCTCAGTTTTATATACACCCGTCAACAATAAATTAACAAAGAAAGCAAAACATTAAAATGTATTATAACTACTCGCAAAGTGTGTTTGATATATATAGAGAAACAATATTTATTGTTTCGTATAGGAAGGGGGAACTTTGCTTCCAGCAGCCCTGCGATTCTGTAACTCACTTTTCGAACTCACACAGCGGTTTTCGCATCGGCGGTCGCTCTCAAATCAGTCGTGAAGCAGTGAATTTATGATTTGGCATTCTGAAAAGGTGGGAAATTGTAGTTTATTGTTTATCAGAATGCCAAATCATAAAATGACTGCTTCACGACTGATTTGAGAGCGACCGCCGATGCGAAAACCGCTGTGTGAGTTCGAAAAGTGAGTTACAGAATCGCAGGGCAGTTGTGGTTCGAGCATACGGCGTCTTATTCGATTTCTGGCGAAGTTACAAAATAAAACTGACACATGTCTTAACTTCATTGGGTTGTTGACTACACTTATTCTCCTTATAAATTTCTGGCCACGAACCTTAATTAACTACTAAGTACACCTATCTTCCTTACATGGAAAACAAGAAAGGCTTGTTTAATAAAAAGGTGTAGTACCCGTTTCTATAGTTCTTTGTCTGTTTGCATACTAATGTGCTAGGAATTTATAAGGTTAATATACCAACGTGAAAGTGCTATGATAGAACCCCTTACAATTGATTTAGATTTCTTTTCGTTCGTGATTTACGTGATACTAATTTCATGTGTGAAGGAGGCTTTCTCCCTGACAGGGGCCGCATCTTAAGAGTAGTTAAATTCTACATATATCTATTTTTGTATAATGTATGTCAAAATGCGGATGAATAAAGGATTATTATTATTATAATTTCATGTGTCCATAGCCTTCCGATGGGATGTAGGGTGGACATTTATGTGTCTCAATTGATCATTTTAATTTATAAGACGCCTGTGACCTATGTTACGCCCGTTTTATTTACAGACCACGAACGTAGGACCTCAGGATCAGCACGATTACGACTAGGCTAGCACAATGGGCGTTGCCAATCTATTATGACGGTTGACTTTTGTTATGTTACAATTTTGTTGCTACACAGATATCGCCCGGACAAACACTCGTTGTGATAACACATGTATTTAAAATAGAATATAGATAGTGTGAATATACTTTATGAATTTAATTTGTTATTTACGTGTGCATATTTTGTATTAATAATATATATTTCTTTAATTCCTACATCCTATAATAGTCTGTACAATATCAATGCGATGACGGATCAGTGATATTTATATTATCTGGACTCTGAACTTGAAATAAACCTTCAAACAAAATTCCCATGTTAGACGTTGTAAAAATATTTTTGGGTAGGTCCCTACAGAATAATTATTAATATTATGGATTTTATATTGTTTTAGAATTGCACGCTGCCGCGAAGGAAACAGTCACTTTAGCGGAACAGCGCTTTGTAAGCAAACAAGACGAGTGGCAGTTTGATAGCAACTGGCAGGAAGTGCTCAACCATGCCATCATCAAGGTATTCAAATTATTAAGATCAATTCAAGTTAAATAAATTAGAAAAAAATTACTTAAAAGTTCGTATAATTTTCAGGTCATGGATGCTGAAAAGAGGAAAGCGGAAAGTGGTCGCGAACATCAGAAAAAAGCTGCTGCCTACATCGCCGCAGAAAGAAAGGTAACTTTATATGATGCATACCTGATCATTTAGACAACATCGGTCAGTATTAACTTTAATTAATTAATTAAATATATTTTTAGGTGACACAACTAGAAGATAATCTTAAACGTAACATTGTAAAATCGAGAATTTACTTCGATGAAAAGAAACTGTGCGACGAACAACTGCAGATGCAAAATGAAAAAATTGAGAAGCTTCAACGTATGATTGCGGACGCCAAATACCGCTACTCGAAATCTCTCAAAGCTTTAGAGGAAATATCTGAAGAAATTCACAAGCGCAGAGGTGATTATCCTCCTGGCAAAGATTTTATACCGGTAGGACCAAGAGAACCGGGAGTCGGAGCAGAAAAAGATCCAGTAAACGACGAAACCTTACTTGAAATGGATAAAGACGAAGATACCAGTTTACAGGAACTCAGAATGCGTGTCAGGGAACTAGCAGCAAAACCTATAGACAGAGACATAGAAACAGACGATGCATGGGCTCAAGAGTTAAATGAAACTATCAACAAACTGGACCAACTCCTAATGATGAAAGAGAATAACCAACAAAAGAAATCAAAGTTAACTTTACCTAAAAACGCTAGCGCTCCGTCGACAAGCACAAATGCACCAAAAACAAATCTATCAAGAATGAAGTCCAGAAGCCGCGAAGCAATTTATGATAATCCTGGACCTCTTACCAGTGATAAATCTAAAAGTATGATGTCTTTAGACGTCCTGGCCTTGGCCCGTGATGCATCCATAATGGATAGAGAATCTTATCTCAAAGCGGTTATCGAAGATAAATCTCCTACTGGGACGTACACTGAGAGCAATTCTGATAGAAACGACAGTCCTGATGATATTTTGATGGTGGAGTGCGACTCCAGTGATTCCACTCAAAATCCAGTAATCAGAATGACCAGTTCCACTGTAACTGATAGTGATAATAGTTAAATACTCGAATATGAGAAAATTTTAATCTCCTTCACTGTAGTTAATTTTTAATCTAGGTCCAAAATTTTTAGTCAAATAGGACGGTAGTTTTCTTGAAATCTATATCTTCGTATTTGAAAATTGTGGTTGTAATCAAGTATTTGTAATAGTGGGATTAAATCTCACAATCGTGATTTATCGTTTGTGATAGTCTTATCATTTGAAGTGCATAAACAGATTAATGCACTAAATTAAAACTATGAATGATTGAAATATATATGTATATATTTTCATAGTTGTATTTTATTGAATGGAATATTTGGTAGATAATAAATTCTTAGGGATATATAAAACACGTTTTATCAATTGCATTGTTTTTAATAAATGGTTGTGGTCGATTTAGTATGTCTTACATTCACGATTTAGTAACTTTTTATTCTAATAACACAAAGTCCCAATGTCAGATGCTATTGTTAAATGCGTTCAACACTTACCAAGCAATATTTTTAATTTGTTCTAATGTGGGCTAGGGCTGTACAATATTAGAAATATCAGTTTACTTGCATAAGGTTAAAATTGATATTTCATTTTTTATTTGCAAATGAGTAATGGACGACGATAATTATATAATCTACGTTTTGAATCGAACACACGTCGGATACTAGGAAATATATTTTTAATTGTAATTATGATTTTAGTTAAAGATAGGGTATATATTGAATGTAGCATTAACACTATCTTTAACCTATCGTAAGCATTACGTTGTATGAATGTAATCATAATGAATCAATGCAACCAATTCTTTTGATATTAGTAATTTTATTAAAGTATTTTGTAGTTTTTATTTAAGCAATAAACTGCCAAGTGAATACTCTGTACATCGCATAATATTGCATTTAGAAAGCTGGCCACCGATTACATTAAGGGAAGGCTTAAATAATTTCTGCTATGCAGTTATAGCAAAATGAACTAAATATATTATTTTAGCGTATGCAAGAAATGAAAATATATATTTGTTTACCACACTTGAATCAGAAGCTTATAAGAATTATTTAAGTGGAATTTATAGTAACTGTCATCGCGTTTATATAGTATATAATTATAAATTCGACATAAATAATGGTAAAATTTATTTCTATATGAATTTCACAGTAATGTAAAAGGATTTTATACTTGTACGTTTAAAGAACTTTATTTATCGTATAATCGAATACTTCTCTATTTAGTTTAATAAGTTTTGTACAAAAGAAGTATATATATATATATATCTGTTACTTCATAGTATAGCCAGGATAGTATTAATATACTATCCTGGCTTTGTTACTTGCCCATAATAATCTCCTATCAAGCAAAACCTCGATAAGTGTTCTGTCGTAATCCCACTTATAGTATGTCGTCCGTGTCGTATGTCAAAAATTTTGACGTATTTATAATTTTTTTGGTACAAATTACGATCTGCTAAATACTATTACGTTCCTTGTAAGAAGACTTCACTGTACTTAATTATCAATAAAGACAACTCTATTCGAACAATTGTTTAATTTGATCCAATATACACAAGTACCATGGATCAATTCTTCTTTATAGGGTACTTCCTATATAAAATACAAAGTTTAAACAAACGAAATGCATTTTTTACACATTTAATAATTTTCACAGAACTGTGAATAAAGAACAATAATATTAAGTTTATAAACAAGACAAACATATAATTTTAATATTTATTTCATAAAGATTGAGGAAGGCACTAAAAATATTATAATTTTACTAATTATAAATCATATAAAAATAAAATATTTTACCACAGAGATGCTGAATCACATTAAATATATAGAATATTGGAATATTAAAACAAATACATTTATCTATCTATAACTTCATTAAAATACTGTATATGTTCATACCCTGTACTATATTTCAAATATAGTTACTAAGACCAAGTTAACGTAATCTTATTGCCATTGCATAAAAAGCAACATTTTAGGCATAAAATATACAGTATAACGCACAATATCGTATGAACAAAAGTTATTATAATAATGGAATTAAAATAAAATACTTGGCCTTAATTGTTATACAAATAAAAATAAAATTCTATTGAAGCTTAGCTTGCATATAAATAATAAAATGCAAAAGTACAAAAATGCTGTAACAAATGCAAACATTCAGTTGTTATTAATAAAGTATTTTCGATTATTTATGAATACTGATTGGTGCAACAACGGGAAGTGTAAACCTTTAACATACAAACCATAAAAAAACGACTTGAACATTTAAACACGCCAACATGTGGCGTCATTTGCAAAAAACGCATGAACACTTATTGGAGAGAAATAACAAGAGGTTTTCATCGCATTCACTCTTGAACTTAGAAACTTTATGTTTAACGGGTCGTGTGACAGATGACAATTGACATTTAAACTTAACTTACTCCCGTTTCTTAAAACGGCACCTGGTTAATATTTAATTTTGAAATAGATTGAGAATGTTGTATATTATGAAAAATATTTGTAACTGTAAAAATCATATATAAATAAAATATTTTAATTTACATTAAAAATATATAGAAATTTGAAACATTAAATAAATAATTATTTTACACATCAAAAACGTATATATCCAACGTTGTATTTTAAATTCATATAAAATTTATTGCGTATTGTAAATACTTTGGATTATTAAGAAACCCTTAAAACAGTAAATAGATTAGCGATATGAATTGAAATATGGTCCTTAATATTCAAACAAATTACACAATCTCGCTCTTCTATGTTGCACCAATCCATAAACAATCACAACCACTTTCGTATTATTCGAGAACACATATTCCAGTAGTTTCGGGAAAAATAAACAATAATTGCAACTATATAAATATTCCTAAATTATCAATAGGAAATTAATGTTCTAACCTAGTGAGGTGTGTTGAATCACTGTTGTCATATTTCCTACGCTTATAATACAAAAATATAACAATTAGTATGTAAAGAATGTTATGTATATATTTTTGGCTTTAATCTATGGAGCGCATTTTGACTAAGATACTTTTTGTTTTGTTCAAATTTAAAAGCATTTAAGAAGAATTGAAAATGAACACGCCTTCAAACAAACACGTGTTCGATACCCCGCGTATTCATTTCCGGCAGTATTTGTAATATTCAATAAGTATATATATATATCTATTATTAGGGGCAAGACTACACATTTCTCGATACAAAAAGCAATGACTGAGTCGCAGTATAGATTTGAACCATGGAAAATGTTAAAAATAAGTGTTAATTTAAAATTATAACATTGTAAAAACTAGACCAGTTCTTTTAACTACGCCAATCTGTCTGCTGTCTCTTTCTATCATAGCCTTAACACAATTAAGAAAGAGACAAATGACGTTAATTGAAGTGAAAAAAATTTGATACGGCTTATACTATAAAAAATGGACTAGACACCGAGATTGTTACCATGGTTACTATGGCAACCGCATTCTCTTTAGTCCAAATTTTATAAATATAGAAAAAGATTAACATTCTTCATTGAGTAAAGAATTTTAGTTACATTAAAATCAAGGACTCCAATAATTTGCGACAGCTCCTTAGTACACATTTTTTTTAAAGATTGTGTGGAGTCCTTAAATTCAATTTGTTTTATATAACTTACATCAGACGGTAGTGTAAAATCTCTTGATGATTAATAACAAACTAAGAAGTCATTGACTTGTAACAGACAAAATAAAACACTTAAAATAACACTAAAGCACTGTCATAAATGCAGCTAAGATTTGGTTTACATAAATACTTGAGAAATCTTGTCATACTTAAGTTTATTAAAACAATTTTTAGATTTTGATGTTTCAATAGACTATTTAACTTTAAAAATTGCTAAGAAAATACTTTCAATGACTTTAATTTAAGCGAAATAAATTCGCGTTTGTTTAGTTTAATTCAAAACAAAACAAATTTATTGCATCATTTACATAACTTTTAAGTACTGTTCGGCAAGTCATGGAGTTATGTTTAAATAGATTTTGACAGTTGACATGAGTTTGACAGTTGACATCGAATTTGTATGAAATATTTTAATCCTCAAGAATATGATCAAGACTTCCGCAAGCAACATTGAACTACGATAGATCTATAACTGGGAATATTCCAATGTTCAACCAGCACATGGAACCATGGCTTATAACTTGGATTTGACGACGTCTCTCCACCATGGAGCTCGTTCGAAGGCTCCGGGGTGGCTGAAGAAGGCCTTTTGCAAGTGTTGGTATAACTGAAAAAAAAAAATGATATGCTATGAGAATGCTAAGTTATTAATTTTGTTCAATTTCACGATCAAAATAAAGACTTTAATACAAAATAAAAAAATGCCTGTTATGTGTCTGTTTGACAATTTTTTTATCAAATTTACAATTATTACTTACGTTTCCATCGCTTTTTCCCAAAACCGAATTGAGTACAAAATCGGTCGGCGCAAGCGCATCCACAACGCTGACAACTTCGGTCTTCAAATCCGCGCACATTTCCAAGATCGCCGCTCGTAAAAGGCGCGCTAATTCTTCTCCTTTTGAGAACCCTCCCTGGTACATTTCCACCAAATGTTTATCTAAGGACCATAAGCCATAAAGACAAAATAGTTTTTTCAAAACCGGAAGTAATTGTGCTTCGGTCTTCTCTATGCTCTCGAGGCAGAAGACCAGGGCGAGGTACTCGGCGTAGACCTTCGTGAGGGTTCTCCATCGGTATACTTGACTTCGACTCCTCGCCTGCATCTTTGTTAGACCTTTTGCTAACTCAGCTTCGTTCTTCTCGTGCGTGTACTTTATAAGCCAGCATAGAAGCCATTTGTATGTTGACAATATGACTGGAATAAAAAAATATTTATTAAGAAAAATCAACCAAGTAACAAAATGTATATAGATAAATAGAATGATAAAAACATAGTGAAAATTAATTTGGTATTAAGCTACTTGCTATCAATTCGCATTGTTATAAGGGGTTAATAAGTTATCACAATATAGGGGAAGTTTTCCCTTCGTACGCGGGGCACATTCATACAGTCGAAATAAAACTTGAACGAAACAAAGTCAGTCTTGTTTTTGTATGTGTGCATGAGTCGAGGTACGAACTATACATAATCGAAGTTTCGCGAAATTCGCACCGATGAGAATGAAGTTACAGGCATGGACGTGTTTTCGCGCTCGGTAAGTATTTTTTGATCAATGTTTTTGTCTCTTGTTACCGTAGATAAAATAAGTTTTCGTGTAGAGTATTCTATCAGTAACTAGCAAAATATACTTAGATACGTCTCCAATACTTAATTTATGACGTTTTCCTATTAATATTAAAATAGTTATATTTTGTTGTTATTCAGTTAGTGGGGTACTTTCGGACAGCACTGTGGGGCACATTTGAACGAATTGTACAACTAAATTTGTATGAAAATATTTTGTCGACACGAACTGTAATTTTCATACAAATTAAGTTTTCGACTTGCTACATACAAATAATAATGGCATCTTGACTAAACCCTCTGGTAGGTAGGAAAGATTGTGTTAGTGTGCTAATTGCTCTAATATTTCCATTAACTTTGTCCTGTGTTGCTATCATTGCTATCGTCGATGTATTTTTATTACCTATTTTTATTATCTTTATTAAGGTTGATTTTGATGCATGTGAACCAGATGCTTTGAATAATTTACCAATCCATCAAATAGTAGTTCCTTCGAAGTCAGTTTTGACACCTTAAGGGTTTCGACTCTATACGCATGTTGTAAGAAGTAATAAAACAAACAAAATGACGACGGCCAGGAAAACCACGAATTTATACTGCCACACCCGAAAATAAGAAGTGCTAATCCGCACCAAAGATTAAAGAATGTGATTCTAAATTTAAGATACCTAACTATTAATTTTGGTTTTCTTAAGAAAAGCTATGTATTTTTGTTCACTATAATTAAAGTATTTTATTTTTGTTTATTAGAAGTTAAATCTTTATTTTTGTGTTTAATTTCATTGCTAATAAATGAATTTTGATTTATATGTGTCGTTTTAATCGCACGTCGGAACTACCCCACAGCGTACGAAGGTACCCTCAACACTGTACGAAGGTGCCCCGTTGATGGGGTAGATTCGTACGTTTTCCAGATTTAGTTTAAATCATAATTATGGTGAACCATCAGATGAATCATTTGTCATTTTCTTATATGAATCTCAGATAGTTAGACTATAAATTTAAGCTTGCAGATGATTGATTCATGGAAAAATAAAATAATAAAAAAATAAAATGTGAAAACCGTCGAAGGGTCCCGACCTTCCCTATATGTCTTATTGATAATTAAATTTAATTATTAATTCTGAATGACACTCATTTATATGTTTTATCATAAAAAATAAGCACGATACTATACATACTTATGTATAAAGAAATAATAAATACATTATTTGAGTAATGGATTTTTCTTAATTTTATTCTAAGACAGTGCAAGAAGTTTGCACATAAAATCAAATCTCACGTTCACGGACTTTTTATGGTATTTCTATAAGGGAATTGTTTAAGAAATACATCAATATATCCCTTATAATGTATTTCTAGCCAACAGGAGATGTCATTGTTTGGCTCCATAAATCAAAGATAGGTGTAGTATTATGTATAAGGGAGCGTTCAAGTATTACGTAACGAATTTGGGGGGGGGTCCCTTTTGTAAAACGTTACGATGCGGGGCGGGGATTGAATTACGCGTTATTGTTAATATTATTTTAGACTTTCCAGTACTTTACACCACATAATGGTAACTTTTAGGTATAAAGAGTCACTGGGCGGTCACGAAACGTTTTACAAGTGGGTACAGAAAAACGTTACGGCGTGTTACATGGAGGGGGGTCCACTAATCTCCAAAAATTGCGTATCGTACGTAATACTTGAACGCTCCCTAAAGTATAAAAAAAATATTTTTGTCTCTCTTGTAATGTTTTCGTTGAGTTTTTTTGCATTAATAATATTTATTTTAAACTCTTTAGGTTAAAAGGAATTTAAATATATGTACTGTGGTTTAGTGTAGCAGTTTAGCAATAATAAATAAAAAACTCTTATTTATATTACTTACATTTAGGATTCTTCATTTCATCCGTGGTTTTACACGTAAAGGTGCTATTGAGTATCGTCTTGATGTCTTTCAGGAAAGTGACTGTGCCTAAGGGTGAGTCCACGTCGTGTCCATTGAGTACGGCTTCATATTGCTTAAGAAGCCAGTTCCCTGTTTGTTGGGAGAGAACGTTGTTGTCACCTTCATATGTGACTGTCGGCTCGTGGTTACTGCGAATGTCACCTATGTTTGCAACCTGAGAAAGTTTTTTATATTAACATATTGAAAAGTTTACATATAAGACACTTTACAAGAGATAGAAGTGTTAGCATAGTGGCTTCAGCGTCTCTCATCACTGAGGTCCACCGTCTAACACCAGCTCTTACAGTACAGGAAAACATTGCGAAAAAACCGGCATTCCACAAAATTGTGCCAGACAGAAGGCTGAATGCTGAATGATCAATGAAACGGTTGCAATCTGAGACTGGATTATTTTTATCGTTACAAAAAAAAATGACTGTGAAGAACACATTAAAAGTCTCACGAAGTGTTCCTAGTTAGGTCTACGTAGTAATGGACCTAAGGTAACAAACTGCTCAAAATAACTAAAAGGGACAAACAAACAAAGCCATAACATTCGTTTAATAGCATCATCTGTATTTGAGACAGGTATGTAAAGTAAATAAGGTGCCACCTAATTTTAAATATATATAGAGATAGGGTAAGGGATTAATTATATTCCAGTAATAATTAAGACTAAGCACTGACTATGACTGAGTCAAAAACGTTTTGGGGTTTATATAAAAGTTCAAATTTTTTCAACATTATAGCACGACTTGTAGAAGAAAGAAACTAGTCAGATTTTCTCCTAGGTAGCATACAAAAGATTAAATACCTTCAAGTATCCATGTCCACCACAAGCTTCTCGGCACTGCTGTGCGGCTTCTAGCACCGTCCAGGTCAGCAAAGGCTTGCTGCAGGACACCATCGCGTGGATCTCTGATACTGCTTCAGTCTATAATATAAAGAAGACATATATGTAATAGGAATAAACAATGGATTTTAAAGGGTTTTTCAAACATTTATATTCGTAACTTCAAAGATGCAAAATCTTATACAACGATGTATCGTGGATATATATGATTTTTTTTTTTTTTTTTTTTTTTTTTTTTTTTTTTTTTTTTTTTTTTTTTTTTTTTTTTTATACGGTGCAAACAAGCCTACGGGAAACCCGTATAGGGCAATTATGGCATTTTTACGGGTGCATTGGCAGCCTTTGAGGGAGGAGTCTTTTTTAAATTGGGGGTCGTATCTCAATGGGACACCCCACCGGGAGTCGGTTCCACGGTTCGCTAGTTCGCAAAGAAAATATATCGTCTTGTCGTACAAAATATGCCTTTAATCAAAAAGTAATCAGGAAAAAACTGTCATAGAAGACTTTTTTTTATCTAACTCAAACTAAATGCTAAAACAAATACATCTTATCAAATTTTTGATTCACCATAGTAAAAATACCATAAATCTAATCTATTGATATACCCGGAAAGGGTTTAATTTCAAGAGCAAGTCCGATAATTTATAGATAATAACCACGTGTTTCTAATCGTTCGAAGTTTAAATTTGCTAAAGTACTACGATAAAGTCAAATATCTGAACAAAATGGGGAGTTTCAATAATTTAACGAAACTTTAAATTAGAGCTTTGCCAGAGACTTTATTACTACTACAATTTAGTTTTAGAGGAAAAAAAATCATCATAGTGCCTTATAGCTAAAAAGCTATCTAGAATTTATCCTAGATGAAAGAAAAAGTGGTACAAAATTGATAAGTAATCCCAGAAGAAAACATACACACATACAAAAGGATTTTGTCTTTACTTACATCACTGCTATACAATTAAATAAAGTTTGTTTAATTAATATAAACGCTAATGTATTATAATGTCCTCTCGACGTAAAATATCCAAAAAAGGATATTTTTGTTCTTCGCGAGCATATTGATGTACACTTACCAAGTTATCCACACCGTCACCACTGTTAGATTTCTCAACTATCTGAAGATACACATTGGCAAAGTTCTGCAGGTAGAACCGGAACACAACAGCGGCCGCGACATACCCGAAAAGACGCCATTGCTAAAATTATTGAAATAAAATACTGTTATTCATTGTTAACTATTAACTGGGTCAAACGATCACGCTCTTGGCATAAGTTTATTTTAGTTATTTATTAACAATTTTTTTTACATAAATAGTACAATTTAATAGATAATATTAGCGTTTATTGTTTTCTTTGTTAGTTACCAAAGCCTACATTAAAATGATTTAAATCCAGGCTAACTGGTTTGTATCAATCCATCAAATTATTAAGTACTTGATTATATGTGAAGATTTCTGATTGCCGTCAAAAGTTGTATAAATTTAATACATAATTGAATTAGAAGCTAGCTCTTTCCCTTCATGGATAAGTAAATTTTCTTTATAAATAGAATACAATTCAATTAAATCTCTTCTGGGTCATTCTAGACAGCAAAAAGAATATACTAGGCATAACCAAATAAAATAAAATAATATAGTCTCATACAATTACAAAACTAGCATCTAAAATTAAATTAAACTAATCTTTGAGCTTTGGAACGCAAAAATATACATAATTGGGTTTTCGGATTAGAAAAAAATAGATACTGCAATGTTTCATGAACCAGAAAAAGATGTCATGAGACCTGGTGTTTTAAATCCAATTCTTAAAAAAAAATACTGGGACTTTTTTTTTTATTAACTAGAAGTTTCCTTACATGTAACTCATATTCAATTAGGGCTGTCTCGTTTTGCCGTTCGCCAAACTGTTTGCGCGTCGCGGCGTATCGTATTGCGATCGCGACTAAGCTAGAGATCGAGTGACAGCTCTCCTGCATTATTCCGATACGACCTGAAAATAAATGTATGACTTCAAAACATAAATATTACCTAAGTTCTGGTAAACTTAATAACGCTTTAATGTTTTTTCTAAGGCCTAGATGACCCGGTACTTTATATCACCTACATATATTTGTGTCAAAACTCAACAGATTGTTTTAAAACAGACTAAAGAGATCGGATCTCATACTACAGCTTTGAAACACAATTTTCTGAAGGCATAAATATACAATCAAATCAAATCAAAATACGTTTATTCAATTTAGATGCTTCTTAGAGCATGCTTATGAATGTCAACAACGTTTACAAATTCACGAAAGAGCAAGACTCGCCATCCGTTCGCAAAACTACCAGGAGGCCTTGTTCGACAACCAAGTGACAATTTTTATTTCTAAAAAGTCGTTAGCTAGGATCAGTTTTTATGGAAAAATTCTATTGTCGTTTTTAGTATTTTTCTTTACAAATTATTGATGTCGCCTACTAAATAAACCTTCCCTGAATTTCCACAAATATTTCAAGATCATAAGTAGCCAAATCGGTCCAGCCATTCTCGAATTTTAGCGAGACAAACGAAGAGCAATTCATTTTTATATATAAAAATTTAGTGTAGGTATGTCAAAATCCATATCTTCAGGCGTCATGTCTCGACTCCGACTTGACTATACTAGTTATAATATTGTAGTAAGTATTTATAATAATTTTGCACTAAATTGAATCCTGATCTTCAAAACTTATAAATGCGACTTGTAAAAGATATTGTACGATAAAATTATTTCCCTTCATGGATCAGCTAATAATACAATATATTACCAGCTGAAAGATTCTCCAGTGCAGCTCCAAGTATCCGTGAAGGTTCAGAAAAGGAACTCTCATAGACACCTTCTTCGGTGACATCGGCAGTCCGATTGAGAAGATTTACGCGAGGTATTCGATACTTGTTGAACATTATGAATCTGTAAGTCAAAAACGATGTAAGCATTCGTTTTACGACTATCTAAAGTTAGTAATAACTTTTTGGGAAAAGGGATACTCTTCTTTAATAAAATCCCAAAGGCTCTTTTATCTCTGCCTTTTAATAAATTTAAGAAATGTATTAAAGAAAAGCTGTGTAAAAAGGCTACTATAAAGTTAACGATTATCTAGTTGATAAAAGGGCCTGGGACTAGTGCTAGACAGGCTACTTCTAATTAATTTACGATATTTGTTTTAAAATAGTGTTGTTTGATGTTTTGTTATTTTAAAAGAATACCGACTTTTTTAAAAAGAATTACGGCTTTTTCTCTCGGCCTACACCCTCTGTCTTCTTTGCCGATGAGTAGGGATGCCTACAAATTCAAATTTAATGACGTGGAATAAGTGATACATGTATCTTATGTTCCATAATAAACATATTTTATTTTTAGATTTTTAGAGGCTAAAGAATTTTTTTTTAAATCTGAAATCCATTTTCAAAAGGAATGCCTAAATAGCTACCGCGAACTATACAAGATTAAGCGGGAAACCATGCACAATGCCAGTAGCGTACTTTATTTTAAACTGAAAAAAAGCATTAATAACAGCTATGTTTTTGTCTATTCCGTTGTCCATGAATCGGAATCTTCTGGATTTGGCGAAATTCATTCCAGTTAGACATACCCATTATCAATTCCATTAACACCGATTTTCTCTCCCATGTCTCCGACAATGAGTCCAGGGTATACCTCCAAAGTATGAGGATCCCTTATCGGTACCAGGAATCCATGAAGACCATGATTTTTGCCATCAGGAGTTATCAACTGTGCGAAAAGCAGCGTGTGCGTGCACGTTCTACCTGGAAGCATTTGGGTTTCATTGTAGCTCAAAAATTAAAGAAAAATGCAAAGAAAGAAAGCGAAGAGGAAAAAGTTGTACAGATATACACCGGGTTCAATAAAAAAAATCAACTTGCTGAGACGAACTTTTCAAGATATCAAATTGTTTTTTTTATAGAAAAGCTACGATTAAGAGGCAACTACGGTTGATATTTTCTACCTCGAACAAATGAACTGAATGTCAAATATACAAAGGCCAAAAAATTACACGTCGAATTATTTCAAAATCTCCTCAAACGGATTTTTTGAAGTGTTTAAAAATCGATATAACTGTATTGATTGCGTTTCTGATAGTTTTTTTATAATTTCTTTATAATTGAATTCAAAGCATTACTTCAACGGATATTGAACAAAGAATCTCTCCAAGTCCTTTGAAATAAAAGAGAAGAAGAAAGAAGGTATACGAAATTTTTTTTAAATAAATTACTTACATTAAACTATTATTAGTTACCAACAACAAATTTATGTATTAGGCATATAAGGAAATAACAATGTGTTAATTGGTATTATCAAATTAATAATGCAAATAATTTAATGATTATATAATTAGTCTGTATTCAAAAATAGACTCCATAAATTTTACTTTAATACTTTCAACGTAACCTACCTTCTTATGTGGTTAAGTTAGTTTTGAGATATTGTTAGTCCTAATTTTAAACTTTCTATTTTTAGTGGATTTTTTAACTGTGGTAGAGGTATCGCATTAGTTATGACTTGGTAACGTTAAGTTAGTTTTGCGTCATAAGTTAGGAAGAAAAGTATTGCAAAGAAAACTAAAATTTTATATAAACACTAGCTGACCCGGCAAACGTCGTTTTGCCATGTGCATATATTATTTCTGGGAAACATTTTTTTAGTTAAATAAAAATAACTATTTACTACTCGTATAATAAAAAATAGGGGTTGATCGTAGGAGGGTGACAATTAAGGGTTGTAGGTATGTATTTTTGTATGCTGTATCATAAAAAAATAAAAACAAAAATTTTAGGGTTAGTCCCACCCTACCTACCTACTTAATATTTCGGGGGATGAAAAATAGATGTTGTCCGATTCTCAGACTTACTGAATATTCATAAGAATCGGTCGAGCCGTTTTGGAGGAGTATAGAAACGAAATTAGATAAACATTTGTCGCCTCGGTAAGGTTTAATACACTATCAAAATCAAAGTAAGTTTACCCTAGTTAGGGTCCTGGCACAATGCAGATTTATCTCTCTAATATATAATGATCATGTATCCAGCTATAATGTTAAAATCTCTTGTTATGTGAACACGTATTTGACATTCGGGACTCATTATCAGTCAGTCAGTTCGCGATAAGTCGTGTAAGTCAAAATACAATAAATTTTTGACTTATAGATGTCGGACTTAGCGTTCGCTTCCGCGTCTTATCCGTCGATAAGATTTTAAGTTCAAATATGAATGGATTGGATATGGAATAGGAGTTTGCCCACTCTTATCAAAAAATCTATATATTATGTGCAAAAGCGAAACGCGAGGTCACAACGACCGCGACAATGATAAGAGATTACGCAACATTCAGAAACGTTAATAATCGCATTAAAGGCACATGTTTAAAGATCTACAATTTATCATAACTTCTATAGATAAAATATTTGACAATAAATTGAAAAATAATGTTTTCTTGAAGGCCTGATAAGGTCTGATAGGCAACATAGAGACTCTGTCAGTTAAACCGTAACCATGGTAACAAAAACATTGCTATCCTCAGCCGATATTTTAAAACAAGGTTAAGCGTAAAAATAAGATCTAATATTGTTTTTAACCGAATAATAATTTTTTTGTTATGTACATAACTAATTTAGTGAAGCGACGACTCGAAATTCTGGGCTATACGTAAGAAATCAACACGTAAAGATTTGTAGGGTTGGGAGGGTGGTTTGGGGGGTTTTGTTGTGGGGTGGTTTGTTTGGTAATTTGTGGGAATAAATGTTTTTATAAATTTTGTTTTTGTTTAAAACAACCTTTTTAAAAAAAAATATATTTTAAGTAAAAATTAAATAAATAATAAATA